AATTATATCCCTTGTTTCTTTAAGCTACAGTCGTGCTGACAAGCACTGGTGTCCTGATGCACAATTTTGATACTAATCACCTAGAGTTGGTGTCAGACTCCACAGGTTTAAGGGTTCGATTCCCAGCAAGACTGTTTTTTCTTTAGTTGGGAGTCATCAGGCTGTCTGCACTCCTGACCACTGAGTACAAATTCACAGGTCCCCACAATACCCTTGGGTTCAATAATTCACTAGAATGACTCACAAAACTCAGGAAAGCACGATGCTCAAGACTACAGTTTTATTGCAAAGTATACAAATCAGGACTCTGGCTGGGCCCCTAATCAGAGGCATTGGCTGAGGTGTGGAAGAGTCCCCAGTATAGAGCCCAGCGGAATTGGGGCCCATTGCCCTCTCTGTATATCTCTGTTCACCAATCAGGAAGCTCCATGAAGCTCAACATCTAGAATTTGTGCCGGGGTTTTGTTATGTGAGCATGAGTGATGGAACCATTGGCCATGCAACTGGACTTAATCTGCAGCCTCTCTCTCTCTCTCTCTCTCTCTCTCTCTCTGGAAGTGGAGCTGGCGCAAACCTTCAACCCTCTGGTCAGTAGTCTTTCTGGTGACCAGTCCAGCCCCCCATCCTGAATCATGTCATCTCTCAGCATAAACTCAGGTGTGATTCCAAAACTCACCAATAACAAAACACTCCAATTACCTGGGAAATTACAAGGGTTTAGATTCTCTTTCCTAGGAACCAGGGGCAAAGGCCAGTCAAACTTAGTATACAATGGGATGATTCAACCAAATGTGCTTGTAGAGTAGTGGGAGGGAAGGGTGAAGTTCTGTCCACAGTGTGCCCACTATTCCACTCAGTCAATATGTGCCCCGAAGTGAGTGTGAAATAGACTTGAATCAGCAGTTGCTTTATTTGGTCCCCACATACTTGTCACGGGACTGACCCCTGCGTTTAAAAGATCCCACTCTGTTATTCTGTGCATTATTAAGTGCAGTATGCATCTGTACATATATGTCACACGTACAAACTCATGAGCTATAATTACCATACTTCATAGGTAGTGATTTTCTGTTTTTCCTTTATTGTTGACACTATTACAGATGTCCCCATTTCCCGCCCCACCCCCCTTTCCTCTGGCTGTCACCACACTATCTGTGTCTCTGAGTTACACCTGTACATTCTCTGGCTCATCCCTGCATCTTCTTTCATCCAGTGCCCCCCTTCCCTCTGAGAGCTGTCAGTCTGTCCCACTTGTCCATGCCTCTGTTTCTGTATTGTTCATCACTTTGTTTTGTTCATTAGATCCCACATGTAAGTGAAACTCTGTGCTATTTGTCTTTGCCTGACCGGCTTACAGGTAGTGATTTTCAAGGTGGCTTTGGCTATCCATGATTTTTGCTATACAGACTTTATAGCCCACACTCCAAGTAAAGGCTATTCTGCTCTGCAATATCCCAAGCAGACTCTTCTGTAGCTTTCCAGAAGTTTGCTCCTCTAAACTTGGCATTTCTGGTGACGAAGAGCTCCCTGATGTAAGAGTCAGTCCACTCGCTAGTCAGGCAGCACTCAGGGTTACAGAGCAGCTTCTCAGGCTGAGCCAAGTCTGTCCCCTGGTCCTGTGACTCCACCGTCTGGAGGTGCCCAGAAGACACCTCTGTTAGAAGGGGACTCGCAGTGCTCAAAGACAGGGATCCGGTGTGCTGTGTGTCACATTCTTTTTGAAGCAAACATCCCTGGTTTCCCCAAGCCTTTTTTCATACATTCATTCACGTATGCACTTTTGGGCACCCTCATTAGCCTCCTCGCGATGTGTCACACCCCTCAGTGTGGCGCAGCGCCGGGAACAGAATGCAGTGCTCCGAACGTGGTCGTGCAATCACGGCATCGTTCTCACGTGGATTTGACATCTGTGCCCATTAATCCGGTCATTCTCTGATTACACTTCTTAAGATTAATTGTAATTCCCCCACCATTTTATTTAAAATGTCTCCACCATTTTACAGATTAAGCAATGCGCTCGGTGGACATGTGTTCCTCACGTGCCTAGCATCCATCTCCCTTTCTCCTGGTACCTTGATGAGAAAACATTCAGGTTTCTCCCTGGCCAGCCTTCTCTCCTCGTCACTCTGTACAGAGGCACGGGGGCTGAGGGGGGCGGTTTAATCCAGGACTAAATAATCAGCATTCTGTTCACCTTATCAAAGTGGATCTTTTGCTTCCATTATTGGGAAAGAGGGGTTCTCTTTTCACTGGAGTTCAATGCTGACATGATAAAAAAAACAAGGGGACAGTGACCAGAGGGGAGAAAGAAGGGAATTTAAGGGGGAAAAAGGGGAGGGATTTGGAGGAACAAATAGGAAGGACACAGGGATGAGAACTTAGGGGGGTGGAAATGGGAGGGAGGTGGGGAGCACAGGGCGGGGGAGGGGGCTGGGATGGGAGAAATAGACAAAAAACTGTACTTGAAAAATAATTAAATTAAAAAAAAAAAGACATTCGTTTCCTATTGAATGAAGCCAACTTCGGAGAAAGGTGAGGAGAGGGACAGAGGCCAAGTCTTTGTTACATCATTTGTGCTCAGCTTCCAACTCTGCCTGTAGCAGATTTAACTCGTACTTTTCAATTCCTTGAAACTGCTGGGTTTTGTTTGTTCACGTAAACCAATTTTAGCTTTTGTTAAAAGAGTCCTGACTAGCATACTTATTTTCTATTAAGTGGTATGGTGGTAAATATCTACCAAGCTTCTCTTGTGAAGAGAGGAAAGGAAAGGCACTGGTTTGTAACTCACTATTTTCCGTGGTTTCAGTACCCCACCACCACCAATTACACTCTAACCTGTGGTGTCAACCTGCTCATATATTTTCTGAAAATTTAAGGATCTGCTCTCACAGACCAGCTTCAGCACACTGCAGCTTTTATGTTTTTACTCAAGTTATCAGTAAAAATTTTGATCAAAATTGAGCCAAAGATCAAACTCGGGCCAACTAGAGAACTTTCCTTGGCTACCCAAGTTGTCGTGAGCACACCAGTCAACACACTTGGGGCAAGTGCAACAAGCTCCAAGTCGAACTCTTTACTAACATTCCAACTCATGTCTCTACTTCGTCCAGTATCATGAGAGAATGCCAGAAATTTTGCTAATGGCAAGTCTATATCCTTGTACCCTTTTGCTTTGTCAGTCCAGTCACCATGAGAAATGAAGTCACCTTGTCCAGGCTTGCTGTGGTGACTCATTTTGCCCCACTGAAGATCACTGCTTTCCACTCTAAATGGCGAACCCTAAGCTAAAGAGTCGGGGCTTGGATTTTAGTTGCTTGCCAATGGTCTATTGTTCCTGGAATCTGTCCTTCTCCCCACTTGGCAAATTTGGACATTGCCTGTGTCCAGTCTTTCTTCACTTTCATAGATTATTTTGGGTGTGTGTCATGGGAGAAATCAGAAATGATTGGAGTTGGAATTTTGTCTAATGGTTGTCATTTTTTTTATTTTGCAATTTTGCCAACGTCTATTTTTCCTCCAACAGAGCTGCAAGTTTTTATGGGTCTAGGGGGCTACCTTACAAAAAAGAACGGGAGTTCTTTTTAATCTGTTCAATCTTGAAATCTGTGCCTTTCTTAATGCTTGCTGTAGCCTTTGGGATAGGAACACACTGCACTGTTAGAATTTCTCTCTTTGCTTCACTTAAATGCCCTTTTCTGTGTCTACTTCAGATCTATGGATTTCCAATTAAGACTGTACCCTCTTGACATTTCATGGGACTTTGCTTTCCCTACTATTAGATATTTCTATTGAATGATTCGACTTTCCACTGGGTCACGCTTTAAGTGAGATCCTTAACCACCAAATTTTCTTGATGTCTGTAGGACTGTTAGTTGCCTTGGGTAAAAATTCCCTGTTTACTGTGACCATTCCTAATCTTTTTTGCATCTGTGTAAAGACATCTTAGCCCATAGCACTTTCTCCATGGTTTCCTTGTGGGGATTACTGCCATTTTACCTTTGTCATTTTCCTTCTTCACGGAGTCAATTCCCAAACCCCTGACTCCCGCTCTCCTTGGGGGAAAGAACATGAAAGTAAGACCCATACAACCAAGTCCCTCAGCAGCCAAACCAGGAAGCGGAAGGGCACAATGGCTATAGCAGTCAAAAGGGAGTCATTATTCTTGGCTTCTAGTCCTGCCTTGGCTACTTGCTGACTGTGACCTTGGACAAGCAGCTTTAATTCTCTAAACTCTGCTTCTCTCACTTGATAGGTAAAAGCAGTCATGCCTGCCCTGCCTATATCACAGCTGTGTTTGGAGTGAAGTGAGGTGTTCGTGTGGAAGTGTTTGTGGGCAGAGCGGTACGCACAGGTGAGCTTGTCAGTGGTGTTACCAAAGCTGCTTGTGAAATTAAGCTAGATTTGTGGAATTTCAACATATCATTATGTGCTCATGATCAGAAGTTCTTATTTTACTGATACAATGCCACAGTGGAAAAAATGACTGATCAGTTCACTGAGTTTATTAATCTTCATTTCATCCTTAGTTGACGTTTCTATGACCAAAGTCACTCAAGGAGACACAGAGAAAGGAGCTCTTGGATCAGTGGAACTGTTTTTAGTCTTAGACAAACCTCGGCGAAGCAGCAGTACCCACTGATAAACACAACCATTAACTGCTTTGCTATCATTTTTAAACAAATGTTTCTCTCCATTCCTGGCTCCTGGGAAGAGAAGGAAGAAGGGGAGAGATAAAAATATTGGCTTGTTTTCATGTCAGTAATTTAATGATGGTAATTTACAACTGATAAAATTAATTTCTTTCCTTATCAATGGGTTGTCTAGAAGGTTTCTTTAGAATCCACTGGTTACTCATAAAGTCTCAGGAAAGGCAAAGGTGGCAGATTTGGGCTGGGCCTGTGCAACAATTCCTTACCAACTTGAAATAAACACAGTGGGAAACAGGCTTTTACAGGAGATTTACAAGTTAAAGCAAAGTAATTTAAAAGTCATTGGTTACATGTGAATATTATTTTGTGAATAATGTTAGTCAGGAAGAAAAATGATTATAAAAACACAGGGTATGGAATGAGTAATATTAAAACAAGTCTGGAAAGGGGGAAACCATCTACAGTCATAACAAATGAACAGCCCCTTCCAGCTCTTGTTCACATCCATAGATATTTCCCGCAAGGTGGAAATAAATTTGAGCAGCATTTTAAGAAAAATGTTTTCCTAGACGAATTAAACCTGTCATCAGAGTAAGTAAGAAGTCAGTTTTCAGTCATTAGTAGGGCCCTGTGGCCTCCAACCCGTGCATTCACATAAGAGTCCTTGACAAACCTGGTGCTAGACTGTAAGCAGAGCCTGGTCCCAGGCCTGTGGAGTCACCATCATTGCCAGTGGTGCTGTAGAACTGGCCTTCTGCCACCCAGTGGGCTCTCCTCTCCCCCAGGGCCCCTCTAAGCAGTCTTCCCCTCTGACCTTGAATGCTGCTTCCCAGCTGCAGCACTTAGAGCCCACATGCCGTGGTCTCCCACAGACATCCTCCCCCAGGGACTCAGCACAGGCGGTGACTTTTGGAAACAGCATTCTTACTCTCTTCCCAGGCTCAGGAAGTTATCACCCCACCAGACTAAGCCAGTGTCACCTGTTTACTCAGAACACCAACTTCAGCCTCTTCCTCTTTGGTTCTCAATGTAATCCCACCCTGATGGCTTAAAAAAAAAACCAGCACTATACAATGGAGTCTGGTAATTCTTGATTTTGACTGTAAATTACCAAAGTCATAAGTCACCTGTTGAGTCAAGAGAATCAAAACTACCAAAACCAAAAAGCAGCAACAAGAAACAAATACATGGTTATCCTACTACTGAAGGAGGAAGGAACTGTACAAACTATCTTTTCATTCTAAGAGTCTCCTACATTAACAAAAATAAGTCTTAGCAGAAAAAATATAAATAAGTGCAGAAATGTAGACCTAACATTTGGTACTCTGATAGTTAGCAGTTTGAGAAATGAGGCAAGACAGAAGAGCTGTAGGGGAGGGTCAGCTTGTAGCCCAGTGTGGGCCCTGGGGAGTCATGACCTTGGTGATGTCATGAAAATTTATTGATTGTCAGCTTTGTAAATTTTGAGTCATAATTCTGTCTTCATCCAGAGGATAGTTGATCTCTCTCAGCCCAGTGCATAGCCCGGAAAATCAATGTACTGATCCATATCATGAATGTGTAACTGTCAAGCAGCTCAAATCTTGTGTTTGGTCACTTGATGAAGCTTTGCACCAGGAACTGTGAATACAAGAGAGAACAAGAACAAGACAAAGAGGTTAGTTTCTGTTGGTCTGTTCATTCTCTCTCTAGGAAAACCACACAAAAAGCCAATTTGTGATTTAAAAAAAAAGGAAAAAACAACTACTTTGTGAGAAATCAAACCAAAGATGGTCAGGTATGAGACCTTAAATGGCTAGTAGTGTCCTACCCTGACAATCCAGGGGGCTACCCCTGTCCACCCCCATGTGGGTCTGCATCCCTTACCTCATTCATCTTTAGATGAGGAAACTCGAGAACAATGAACACAACTCACTCTGGGAGCTTCTGCATGAGCTAGAAAAGCGGACGGCCACTTGGAGATGAGGGCCATGCTGGACGTGCACATAGCAGAATTCCAATAGGTGAATGGGAACACCCAGACTTCTCCATTTCTGCAGGCTGTCCTGGAATCCTAGGACCTTAGGGGCCTACTTCACTTTTATGCATATGTTTAACAAAATTAGAGGTCTACAGAGAGAATGTGTCTAGGCCAAGGTATTCCAACAATTCCTGGTTGAATGTTAGAGCAGAGAGTAAGGGAAGTGAAAGATGTAGAAATAGTTCCTTATGCTGGTGGTGGTGGGGGAATAATATAACTTCAAACTGAAAGGAAAATTGCAAGAATCACACACAATACTCTTCACCCAGATTCACCAATTGTTTGTATTTGCCTCCTATATTCATTCTTTTGTTCTCTAAATATAGTTATGCCTGCATATTTTTTAACCTTTTGAGGGTAAGTTGGTGATATGTCCCTTTATCCCTAAGTACTTCTGAGCATCTTTCCTTAGACAAGGCCATCTTCTCACATAATCATAGTACAATTCCCAAAATCAGAAAACTTAACATGGATATGATATTATTTTCTTATCTATAGTCCATATTTCAATTTTGCAAATTGTCTCAGTAATGTCCCTATGGCTGCGGCTGCTGCTTCTTCTCCTTCCTTTTTTTTGTTAAAGGATCTAGTCCAGAATCACTTTGAGCTGCCTCCAGTCTAGAGGCATAGTTGCTACGCCTCTTTAGTCTCCTTTAATCTGAAATAGTTCTTCTGTTGATCTTTGCCATTCTTGACCTCAGCATTTAGAAGAGCACTGAAGAGTTGCCTAGCATGGCCCTCAACTTAGATTTGTCTAGTTAAGTCCAGAGTTTGCATTTTTGGAAGAAAATCACAGAACTATTGTTGTAGCCCAGGTGCACCTGCCTTCAGCTTGTCCTATTATCGGCAATGTTAACTTTGAGCAATTTAAAGCAACTCAATTTTCAAGCTGCTTCTTTTACTTTATAAATTAAAGTAGTTTATAGGGATGTATGCCAAGACTGTGTAAATAATTGTGCTTCTTATCCAACCTTTTCCCACTGGTTTTAACATTCATTGATGGTTTTCTAACTCTACCATTTAAAAAGATTGCTATCTAATTATAGCTGGAGATAATACTTGAAATAGTCCCTCGTGTATTTTTCCTTCTCCACAATTCCCCTTTATTCTATAATCTTTCCACTGCTGGGACTCAGGCCAGGTCTCATTGCCCCCAGGGTGGGGGTGGATGCTCAAGACCTTTAAGAAAAGAGTAAAATTCTGAATGTGCTATTCCCAAGTAAGATATTGAAAGCCACAGCTATTGATTTTAAGAGGCTGGCATTTAAAAAAAGATTTTACTTATTTATTTTAGAGAGAGGGGAAGGGAGGGAGAAAGAGAGGGAGAGGGAAACATGTGGTTCCCTCTCATGCCCCCTGTACTGGGGACCTGGCCCACAACCCAGGCATGTGCCCTGACTGTGAATCAAACTGGTGACCCTTTAGTTCAGAGGTTGACACTCAGTCTACTGTGCGACACCAGCCAGGGCAAGAGACACATTTTTACAGGAAGAGAGACTTGTTACTTCTTCCCTCCTTTTCATTCTCCCTTAAAAAAATAAATGTTAAAAGCTTGACTTTTGTGATAAAGAGCAAAGCCTAACCCCTGTGTAATAATTAATTCAGGAAAGAATCATCAATGAACGGTAAAACCTGTTGGAGAATAAGCTATTTACTTGATGCCGAAAGGATTACACCTCGAATTTCTAACAAATTAAAAAAAAAAAAGTGGTACCTTTGAAGGAGAGATCTTGCAGTTGTCATCTTATTCAAGTAATCAAACTTTATAGCACTAGTAGCAAAAAACCCTGACATTAACCGAACTCTTACTGTATTTTTTTTTAAATCGCCTATTAGGTATTTTCACTGAAATGACTTAATTTGAATCTGATATAGTCTTTAGACACAATTTCCAATTTGTCAGAAAATATGGGAAAGAGGAACAGGTTAAATTATATCAGAGGAAAGCTCTCAGACAAAGTCAGAATATGGGACTTCCCCCTTCCCTGGGAAAAATAATGGGAAAGGAGCAGTATTAGACGAAAAGATAGTAAAGAGACAACCAAATGTAAAGGTTGACCTTGATAGAATTCTATTTTGGTGGTTTTTAAAGCAATAAAATAGGTTATTGGGATAATAGCAATTTTAATATGGATCAGACATTAATGAATTGTGGGAATTGTGATATTATGAAATCATTGTCAAATTTCTATTTGTGATGGTGATATGGTAACTATGCAAGAGAACTTCTTTATTTTTAGGGTGTACATGCTGAAGTATTTAAAGGTGATGTGTTATCTTTGTGGGAGACAACCTTCATGCTTGTATTTTTGTACAAGACACTAGCAGTTTTTGTTCCAAAAAATATTTTTAAGGCACACAGCCTTCAAAGATAGACTATCTCTTTTTGAGTCAAAGAAAAAATACTTTTATAAGTGTAACATAATAAAAATAATGTCCCCCTGGACTTCCAGCCATGATGGAGGTACATGTAGACACTCTTTATCTCCTCACACAACCATAAGAAGGATCACAACTAACCTCAAAACAAAAAAAACAACCCAAGCTGCCAGAACATTAAACTAGGTAGAAGTCCAACAACTAAGGATTTAAAGAAGAAATATTCATCCAGATGGGTAGATGGGGCGGAGATAGGGAGCTGGGATGGACAGGACATGGTGTGGTGGTGGCGAGGCAGTGGTGGCGCTGGACAGCAGAATGGGCAGTTCCACTTTCATGTGTGGCAGATAAGTGCCGGGAGGGATATGGGGGAGTGAGCAATCCCAGCCCCGGGCCAGACAGCATAGCCCAGGGGTCCAGTGATGGGAAAATAAATAAAGCCTTATACCTTCTGGCTGTAAAGACAGTAGGGATTGGGGTAGCGGAAGAAACTGCTGGCCTCTCAGGAGACTCTTTAAAAGGCCCCCAATGGTCCTAGAATACACACAAACCCACCCACTCTGGAAACCACCACCAGGGCAAAAGCTAGAGGGTGTCAGTCGCCCCCCTCTAGCAGGAATGGGAGAAATGACTGGAAACAGGGTGAGGGCCAAGCAAGTGGCATTGTTTCCTTTCTAACCCCTCCCCTACACACAGCGCCATAAAGTAGCAGAGTGGGTTGACCCACCGTGGTGAATACCTAAGGTTCAACCCCTTACAATGTAACAGGTACATCAAGCCAGGGAATCAAAGCAGCTCTACCTAATACATGGAAACAAACACAGGGAGGCTGCAATTAAGGTGACAAATAGATATGGCCCAAACTCCAGAGATAGAACTAAACAGAATGGAGATGGCCAACCTATTAGATGCAAAGTTCAAAACTGGTGACAAGGGTGCTCATAGAACCCACTGAGTATGGCAAATGCATAAGGGAAGCAATGAAGGCTACACTAAGTGACATAAAGAAAAATCCACAGGGAACCAACAGTGAAGGGAAGAAAGCCAGGGTTAAAAATCAATGATTTGGAACATAAGGAAGAAATAAATAGTCAATCAGTACAGAATGAAGAAAGAAAAATTCAAAAAATGAGAGAATAAGCCTCTGGGACATCTCCAAGCGTGCCAACATTTGAATCACGGGGTGCCAGAAGAAGAAGAAGAAGAGCAAGAAATTGAAAACTTACTGGAAAAATAATGAAAGAAAACTTCCCTAATTTGGTGAAGGACATAAACATACAAGTCCAAGAAGTACATAGAGTCCCAAACAAGTTGGAACCAAAGAGGACCACACCAAGACACATCATAATTAAATTGCCAAAGGTTGAAGATAAAGAGAGAATCTTAAAAGCAGCAAGAGAAAAGCAGAGAGTTACCTACAAAGGAGTTACCATAAGATTAATAGCTGATTTCTCAAAAGAAACTTTGCAAACAAGAAGGGACTGGAAAGAAATATTTAAAGTGATGAAAAGCAAGGACCTACAACCTAGATTACTCTATTCAGCAAAGCTATCATTTAGAATGGAAGCGCAGATAAAGTGCTTCCCAGAGAAGGTAAAGCTAAAGGAGTTCATCATCACCAAGCCCTTATTATATGAAATGTTAAAGGGACTTATTTAAGAAAAAGATTAAAACTAACTTTAAAATGACAACAAACTCACAACTATCAACTGAATCTAAAAATAAAAACAAACTAAGCAAAGAACTAGAACAGGAACAGAATTATAGAAATGGAGATCACATGGAAAGTTATCAGTTGTGGGGTGGAGGGGGAAGGAGAGAATGGGAAGAAAGGTACAGGGATTAAGCAGCATAATTGGTAGGTACAAAATAGAAAGGGGGAGATTAAGAGAGTATAAGAAATGGAAAAGCCAAATAATTTATATGCACAGCCCATGGACATGAGCTAAGGTGGGGGATTGCTGGAGGGAAGGGGGGTACCAGGCTGAAGGGGGAAGGGGGGAAAAATTGGGACAACTGTAACAGCATAATCAATAAAATATACTTAAAAGTAAAAATGAAAGTAATGTGTCCTTCTGGGGCAAAAGTCAAGCGAGTTTCCTTGCAGTCCATTATAAAAGATTTGAGTTTCCTAAGCTTGGGTTTCCTTAAGTGTGGTAGAAACTCACTGTACGTGTAGTAGCCATACAGGTGACATTGTGTTACTCCCATGTGAACTGAG